CACCAGTTGTGGTGAAGGTTTAAGGTGAAAATGTTCCATGCTTGATGTCAAAAACTCTCCTTGAGTAGATTAATAATAATAATAATAATAATAATAATAATAATAATAATAATAATAACAATAATGGCATTTGCCTCTTTATTGCTATCCTTAACATGCAGTGTGAACAAAATTGGTATTATTTTTAAAAACATAATTTTTTCTGTCTTCAAGGGTATACAGATATACAAAAAATAAATAATAATCATAATCATAATCATAATCATACTTTATTAAACTCTTCTCAAATTGAAAAGTAAATACAAATTTAGTATAACTATAGTTAAAAAAAGGCTTCTTGGTGGTCCGGTGGTTTTCAACAGAGCATATGTAAACAACTGTCTATAATAACAACAACAACAACAACAATAATAATAATAATAATAATCTGCGTTTTGATATCAGCAAACGTCAACTTTTTAGAAGACTTGGAGTATAGTCATTAAGTGTAAAGAAAACAACAATAAAAATTCAGTGAAAAAAAATGTAAAAGATCGAATCCTTTTAATTAGAGGATTTAGATGATCACCAGTAGAGATTTAACTTAAAGTTTTTTCACGTACTCTCAAAACCTAAACACTACGGAAAGCTTCATTGTTACCACAAAAGGTAATACATTTATTTATATCGAAGAAGATTAAGCCCTCTGCCGATCGCAAAATGATAAAACTTCTAACATTTGATAACTTATTTCCGCTACCTCTACGACATTCTCGCGAAAACCTGTAGTTGAATGACGACGGCTATCACATCCAACCCCCCCAGCTCCTCCCCCCCTAAAAAAATGACGCTGGTTTACGCGCGCGCATTACTTAATATTTGAGAAAATCATCATAGTTGTCTCCATTTTATCATAAAAAGCTCTTGAATAAGCTGAATGTTTTCATTTAACATAATAATTACCATGTTATTAATGCAGACATTTAACGGTTATAATATTACTAACCTTAGGTTGCCCTTGATCGTTTTCATACCAGCTGAAAGCCACTCCATCATCACTATATTGTAACTTATACTTGGTTACCTTCTGATCAGAAGATTGTCGTCCTTGTGTGGCCACTCTTGTTACGCTATAGTGGCGATTGCCTAAATCAATCTGTAGCCACTGCGAGGCATCGTTTGGTAAGGCGGCAAGCCAGCCTCCTGCTCGCACATCCGAGATATGCTGCAAATGGAGTCTTGCTAAATAAGGACCATGATCAATCCATGAATGAGTATGAAACGATGACGCAGTGATTTGACCGTCGGAAATTGCGCCGTTTTCCATTCCAAGGGCATCTTGGCATTCTTTATGTCCAAGAAAAATGAAACACATTAATTTTTCAAATAGAGAATTCGACGTTAAACTTGTCTGTAAGCTGTAAGAATAGTAATTTTGTGCAAGCTATATAGTATTTTTTTTACTATACAATAACTTTTTCGGGCCCTGATTGGTCGAGAACTATAGTCGATAAGAGTTTACACGATGTGGTGAATATTACGCGCATTGTGATTGGTCGTTACCAATGATCTATCAGACGTATAGATGACGTTACGGGAAACTAGTTTTGTTTCATGGCGCGCAGTTTTGAAAATGTTTGCGAGATTATCTCGGATATATATGAGCACGTGAAAACCTCGATAAACGTTTAGCAGCAGGAACTTTACTGTTTACAAGTAAGAAACTGAGACAAAAGGAGTTTTAGGAGACTAATCTGTTACCCTCCCCCCCTCTTTCTGTTCATTTTCTAAAACTAATAGATTATTCCATGTTGCGTCGGGTCTGTTTAGTAATAGGTCACAGAAGATGCCAAAATGTGGTAAGAACAAAAGTGGTATACGAGCCGCAGGCCAGTGTATCACTGATGTTCTTAGATTCTTACCACATTTATTTGACGTCATCTGTGATCTATTACTGAGCATATGCACGGCAACACGGAATCTATTTGTTAAATTGGCCATGGAACTGGTTGTTCTTGACGTGTTTAAAAAAAAAAAACAGAAAAAGATGGTGATAATAAAGATGATGGTAACCATAGTAACAAAATGTCAATTACAAAACAACAACAGTAACTGCGACAAAAATTAATTTAGAACAAATGAGTGTCATAACACTGGCGTCTATTTCAATCAAGAACCGTCTTGTAGACCGTTGGGTAGCTGAGGTTTATTAAAGGCTGAAAATAATTCATTTACTTGTTTCTTATACTCCCCTCATTGTTAACATGATATAAATTGATGTATTCTGAACCAATATTCACATTTTTTGACAAACATGTCATACATGTCAGCACAGATTTTTTACCTTGGCTCTCCTGTGTTCCGGTGATCTATGGATAAAACAAAGATTAGTACAATAATGATAATAATAATAATAATAATAATAATAATATACGGAAGTCAACTGATTGTCGGTTTAAAAAAGTGAGCATGGGAGCTCTAAGAATGATTTTTGGTGATTTTGGCTGGCACATTATTAAAACTTGGAAAAAAGGCCAATTTTGAGATTTGACTTAAGTCCATTCTTGCCTTCAGTAGTAAAAGATGTACGACAGCACAGGGAGCCCAGAATCAGCCTACTTGAAGCCTGTAGGAATTTATCGTAAAATCTGTAAAACGGTTAAAATGTACATAAACAGCTGTAAAAGTATACATACCTCACAAAGAGTTGGGTCTGTGTTGTTTTCATTCTGTTTCCTGTCCTATAATCTGAACGCCGTTTTAGCAAGTTTTAATGTTTTGTTTTCTCAGTAGCTGAGTAACCAAAACATTAAAACTTGCTAAAACGGCGTTAATAGGGCAGGAAACAATAAGAAAACAACACAGACATAATTTCTTTATGAGGTATGTACACTTTAATAGCTGTTTATGTACTGTAAACTGTTTTATCGATCTTACGATAAATTCCCATACAGATCATCAAAATTTAGCTTCCAGTAGCCTGTTGTGATTCTGGATGGGCACCCTGTGACGACAGTAAACAGTCTGGACCATTAGTTTTGAAATTCCATTGATACGAAGACACATTTTAGAGTTTTAAAAAGATAGAAAATAGCGCAACATAGCCCCTTTAAGCGGGCTGAATAAAAACTGTTAGAAAACAGTCTACTCACCTCAAACACAAGAGTAATCCAGAGCTGGAATCTGCTCAACTTAATTATTAACATCTCTAAGATTTGTTCTTTAAAGCGACAAATGGAAAAGTTTTTCAAAAAACTATGCTTTACTTGCTAGAAGTGTAATCGACCGAAAATAACCTGTAACTTAAGGAAACATAGTCAAAAAATCAAAAGACAACGTCGCATTAGTATTTTCCGATGCCTACCTCAGCAAATGTTGCGACATATGTTATTCATGGAGGGCGGGCACCCTCATGGGGTTTGCTTTAAAATTTCGTTTGTTTTCCTCTTGAAAAGGGGTCCCGCGGATAAACGTTTATTCTAATGTTTCTTCTCTTCATTTTTAACAAAACAAAGCAGCGTACACTTANAGCGGGCTGAATAAAAACTGTTAGAAAACAGTCTACTCACCTCAAACACAAGAGTAATCCAGAGCTGGAATCTGCTCAACTTAATTATTAACATCTCTAAGATTTGTTCTTTAAAGCGACAAATGGAAAAGTTTTTCAAAAAACTATGCTTTACTTGCTAGAAGTGTAATCGACCGAAAATAACCTGTAACTTAAGGAAACATAGTCAAAAAATCAAAAGACAACGTCGCATTAGTATTTTCCGATGCCTACCTCAGCAAATGTTGCGACATATGTTATTCATGGAGGGCGGGCACCCTCATGGGGTTTGCTTTAAAATTTCGTTTGTTTTCCTCTTGAAAAGGGGTCCCGCGGATAAACGTTTATTCTAATGTTTCTTCTCTTCATTTTTAACAAAACAAAGCAGCGTACACTTAAGATAAATAATAAATGAATTTATTAGGAAGGTTTTTAGTAAACCTTAGGAGAAAAAATAAATAGAACAAACCAGAACAAAAAAATCTGTGTTTGACTCAGCAAAAACAAAGTTTAATTAAACCTTGACGATTTGAACGACTACCTTCGCAAACATTTTGACAACGATTTCAGTGCTGTTCACAGGATTTTTTCGTTTTGGCTCCCTAATTTTAACAAGTATGAGACTAACCTATAGTGACCCTCTGTGATACCTTACAATACCTTTTATAAAGTAATCGAAATAAGTAAAATTTTGTTATTAACTTTTTTTGTGGAATCGAAATTTTGGTTTCTATAACATCACAGTTGATATTTATTAATTTTAGATAGACCACAATTCCATGCTTGCAAATCTTAGAAATTAAAGAAAAACATCAAATTTTGTAAAATTTACTAAGTGGCATTCAGGATTAAAAGACCACTGTTTGAAAATATAAATAATATATTGCTTACTTATTCAGTGAACTAGCAAATCTGACCCTAACAGTTTGTAGATCGTCGTAACATGCCAAGACGTGTGCTTTTCACGTAAATTGAGCAGGGAAAATTTAGGAAGGTCTGTGCCAAATTTTTGCAAACGTTTGAAAACTGACAAATGCTTATGCTACCACTTATAGTAACAGTATTAATACACCTTTCCCCGACCTTTTGTGCTGCCTTTATTTTATTATGGGGTGGAAATCTATTTACTATAAGCTGAACTTCGGTTACCGTCTATGACACTTTACAGCTATATTCGTCTCAGAAAGACTGAACCAAGAGTGAATTGTAAAATAGCCCTGTACACGTTTGTTTACATGTCTTTAATAGGTCATTTTTACGTTGGAGTTATTTACAATGGCTAGAACATTTACTTAGTGCATGCCGGTTCCTATTCAAATTTATCATGTGGTTTAAATAAAGATAGTCCTAATTGGCACTCTACACTAAAATCTGTACATGATCCTTTTTGGTGCAAACGGTTGCAGACGGTCTGGGTATATGTCACCCCAGTATCATATCATCGGCGACATGGTACAACTCGGATGTTTTTCCTTTACTCGCCTATCACAGTATGTTGAAGTGCTTCATAGTAGTCGAAATCTTTACTCTCGCGGTAACCATTCTTATGTTTCTTGGCAGTGGAGCTATTCATTTCACAAATGCGAGGTGGAGAAGAGCACAACTTGATCTGGGTGAGAAAATAGCATAAGGAAGGTATTATTAGAAAGGAAGGTTCCTTTGCGGAAAGAATTTTGGCCTTTGAATAGATCAGTTTTCGATATTCAATTGGTGATGATCCTGGCCTCTGTTGCTCTTTAATTATTATATGTTGTACCAGTTAAAAAGTTACCTTGACGAGGATAACAGGGAGTAGACTTTGTATCTTTGTTTAACTTACTAGGTACCGGCTCGTCCCCAGGGCTTTTCCCCTCTGCATAGAGACGAGGTTGATTCTTCTCGCTGACAGTAACTGAAGACTAATAGACCTTTTTACCGATACGGCGGCCATATTGAATTAATTCGATTTAAGGAGTATTATAGGATGCCCAGGGGGCATGAGCACATTTCGTTTGTATTTTTGAGCGCTTTTCGGGACATTTTTTTCTTAAAGTTTTCTTAGAATAAGATTCTAATGCGAAAAGAGATCCTTGTGCCGTGTTTGGATGTAATAATAATCAGCTTTTTCTCTATATATATGCAGTGAAAGACCATATTTCTAATACTAAACTAGAAAAAGGCGATCATTATTACATCCAAACACGGCACAAGGATCTTTTTTTTCATTACAATCTTATTCTAAGAAAACTTTAAGAAAAAATTTCCCGAAAACCGCTCGAAAATACAAACGAAATGTGCTCATGCCCCCCTGGGCATCCTATAATACTCCTTAAATCGAATTAATTCAATATGGCCGCCGTATCGGTAGAAAGGTCTATTGCTTCGTACTTATGCCAAATAATTTAGTGTTTATTGTAAAATGTAAGGAAAGGGACAAGGGTGACGTATTCTCGCCTTTCACAGAAGTGGCCTGGGTTGGAATACCAGAGGCCATATGTGGCGGTTCCGGTCTTTGCTAAGAGAGCTCAATTTTTCTCCCGGTATTTTCTTTTTTCCCGCTAACTTCAAAAACCAACATTTCCAGTTCGAAGGACGCCTTTGCGGGAGTGTTGCCACTAAATTGTTGTTTATTTTTTTATCATGAGTTATTTATATCGGGCAATAGGGAGAACAACTACATGAAATTCTAAAATGAAAGACCATGCTCTCTTTTCTACAGATAAAGTAATGATGATGTATTTGATTGCATTTAAAGTCAACGGCTAAACCTTGCACATATTCCTAAGTCTAAGACTCCGGTTTTTTGATTCTTTTTTCATTCTTTTGTCAGTTTAGTACGATAAAGATATACAGTAATAAATCAAAATTGATGGTTGCAAAATTGCAAATACTGTAGATTCACATTACCTTCTGGCCACGGGCAGCCGTATAACTCTACCCTCATCGATATGCGGTCACGCCATGCGAGTGGTCGAAAACGGATGTAACGCGTCATGATCGATGGGTTCAAGTTGTGAGAAACCACGGTGTTTGAGTCTGTATTTCCGGTAAAAACCTGATTCCTCAAGAAAAATAAAAAAGGTTTGGACAGTAAAGTATTGTTGAGTCCCTAGCTCAACCACTCAGTAAGGGCTGTAAGAGGGGCCTTTAAACAGAGAGGCTTATTCTCGGAATTATATGGTACCTTGTTTGTGGTTTGGTCTTGTTCCTTAAAGTACTGAAAGTTTTCCCCATCGTTACTAACTTGCAGACTGTACTTGGTCACCCACTGAGGGTAATTGTATCTTCCTTGGGTTGCTATTCGTGTTATTCTTGTCCTTTGCCGACCAACATCAACCTGTATCCACTGACTCAAATCAATTATCCTAACCACCCAAGCTCCAGAGCCTGTTTTGTTATAAAGCCTCCCAAAAGAGACGGAATGTGAAACCGGATTCCATTCTGAAGATGCAGTAATTTGAGCATCTGTAATCACTCCATCTGACATGCCGAGAGCGTCTTGGCAACGTCCTAAATTGTGAATAAAAAGTTGAGCAGCAAATTCCGCGTTATTGGTTACATTTATTAGTGAATGCAATAACTTTTAAAAGTGCTACTTACACGTCAGAAACTATTGCTTTTGAGCTCTAAACAATAACTTGCTGTACTAAGTGTACTTGTTTCACTCACTCATTGATTCATTCGTTTGTTCATTCATTCATTCATTCAGTCATTCATTCATCCATTCATTTATTTTTTGCTAATTCAACGTTATGTTGTGGCAATTAAGCTGATGAAAACCCCCACCTATCCCCGCTTCTCACTAGAAGCGTGTATGAGAGCATGCGAAGTATAATTGAATGAAAATATTCGAACTCGCAAATCAAACTGTAGGAACATTTCATCATTTCAAAAGTATTTAGGACGAAAGTACTGATTAGGGACACTATATTTACATCTCCAACTGCGGGAGACTGGACCCCCATTTTACGCAGACATCCGAGCCACGCAAAGGTATTGCCGCTTGCAGTGCAAAGGAAGTACCTTCATTTTTCCGTTATTGTAAGATCCTGAGTATTGGTCCGGCCCCGGGAATCGAACCTGCGACCTCCCGCTCTGCGGTCAAGCGCTCTATCCACTGAGCTGACGGTGGTTTTCTCAGAGGTTTTCTCAGTTATTCTGAGAATTAAGCTTTTAAAAGAGAAAGATGTACCCACCTAAATAGCCGCTGGAAGACATTTCATCGATTTGAAAAGCCGAAAAACGCAAATTAAGAGGTCCGAACGAGCTAATGTGACTTACGTAATGCAACACATGACGTTTTGAATTGAGTTTGTACTAAAACTTGGAGCTGTTCGAAAAAGCTTTGCAATTCATTCGAAGAGTAATATCTGTTTTGACTCATTATTGGGATAGGAAGAGGCCAAAGGATTGAATGCTAATTTAGTATTCCATCTTGCCATGCATGTTAACTAATTCATTATTCCATCTCGAAAGTTTTATTTATTCTATTATTCCGGCACCCAATAAAAGATTTCTCGAAAATTGTTGTTATTCTTTTCCATTATTCCTCTTCATCTCCCGTCGCTCTCAAAACACCTTGTTAAGATTATATTCAATATATATTCTGCTTTTTACGAACGCGTGTATTGAATATCGCACCGCATTAGGGATATATTTTGAGAAGAAAATATTCTAATAAGAGAAAAATTATTAATGAACCATTCGTGGCAGCATAGAGGTCCTTGATGATGTAGTTAAAACTATATTTTTTATGGAAAAATTAAATGCAGAATTAGGAGCATGATTCTAACAGCTTATGAGACGAGTGTGTGTGTGTGTGTTTTTTTTCAGTTTACGAAGGAAACACTAAAATGAAGTACTCATTGGCATCAAACAACTTTCTCATGTTCCTTTTCGTGTAAGGCTTACTGTATTTTCCTGTTTGTCCTTCTTCCCTAGCAATCTGTGGAATAAAGAGATTAAGATGATTCAAGTAAAGCAGAAATTCAGTGCTTGGAAAGTTCATGGCACTTTGCTAACCGAATTTTTTGCTCTTCAGTCACAAAATGGTCACAGTGTATCGCCCAAGGACGGACCGTTTAATCAAATAAACCTAAATATAATGATAACTAAAATCGGCAACATGGCTACCAAAATCTCTTTTTACCGGGTCGGACTATGGAAGCAACTGAAGCAAGTGACTAGAGGAACTGTAAACAGTTTTACTCATCTCATCCTTCCCTATAAAGTCTATTGTTTCTTACTGCAAGTAACAAAGATTTTCTTACCAGAAGCACCAGAAAGAATAACGTGAACTTCACCTGCATCACGAACTTGGCTGACGCGCAGTTCAGTAAATATCTTTTGTTTTGTTTTGTTTGTTTGTTTGTTTGCTTTCTCATTGTACTCGAGAGTCTACTCGCGGGAAAGGCGCTTAGCAAATACTGAGCTGGAAGCGCTTCTTTACCGCCTTGTAACTCAGTGGACAATTTAGACGAAAAACAAAACAACACTAATTAAACACTTACAATGAATCAAGAGCCCATTATGGCTCTTGATTGAATACAGCATTTTTTGCTGCAATCAGAATGTATTACAAAAGAGTATAATAAGCCTAAGAAGGCCTTCTTCAAGAGTCAGGTATAAATTATTGATTTTGTATGACGGCCCGAGCTCATCTCGACAGCGGTTTTCCACTTTTCTAGTACCATTCCCCACTCGACAGGGAACTGAAAATGGCGGATGGTGCTCTTCTATTCGGTGGGATTGCAGTCTTATAACAGCCTTAAACGTGAAAGGAACTGCGGAAAGGAAAAATTGAATTCTTCAAGCATTTATATTGCAAGCCTCAACCGATTTTTGCGGTCTCTAGGTACTAGAATTTTGTAATAATATAGCAGGAGTTTGTACAGCGGAAACCCTAGCCACATTGTTTTTATACTCTTTAGTTACTGTAAGATGGTACAAAAGGATTAATCATCTATTTTAATATTATTTTGCAGTTTGTTCAGATTGATTGTTTCTCTATTTGGAACTGAGCCTCTGCAGGCCCCACGGCCACTTTCCACCGGACAGATCACTATCCATTGGATAACTACAAGGGACTGCGCTATCCAATCGATAGAGAATAGGCCATTTGCACTAAGAGGTCATGTGACATCGTTTTTATAAAAATGAAAGCTATATGATTTTGCCTTGGAAAAACAATTATTGGGTCATATCTTAAACAAAATAATAGTGATTTGGTTTTTCAAACCCACACTATTTTCTTAAAATGAGTAAGTTTGTAGCTAGTCACGTGACCAAAATGTGATTTTCAAAATTATGAATTACCTCTTTCTGAATGCAAATTTTGCACTTAAACTTCAAGGAAAATTTTGAAACGATGATGTGGTGACATTTAGAGCACATCTGAGCGTAACTATCAAACATTTAACAAGATATAAGCATAAAGTAGTTTTGGCCGCCATGTTGGAGGGCAAGAGTATGCCCTCCAATATGGCGGCCAATACAAATCATACTACTTTGTTGAAAAATCAAAGTGCCATAAAAATTTTAATATCTTCCTTAAAGGCGTTTCCTCTCAAATTTCCGGTGTAAGATAATTTCTAGTGCTCTGTCAATTTCTGGCATCAATGAGATTCCAACTCATTTTTTAAAGGAAGCACTGGTCACATGACCTCTTAGTGCAAGTGGCCCATTATCCAGTGAATAGCATCCACCTTTTTGACAACAGAGGCCTGAACTTTGTTTATTGCAGGAATTTTTCTGTTACACATGAGCAGAAGTTAGAGTAGCAGACATGTCTCTGACGTATCAGGGGAAGAGAATTTTAGCCCCCATGGTCCGAGTGGGGACCCTGCCAATGAGACTACTTGCTCTTAAGTATGGAGCTGATATTGTGTACTCTGAGGTGAGACAGTGATTTAAAAATTACACTAATTGTATAATTGATCTTAAAGAGGTCTTATTCGAAGGTTCATCCTTTAACCCATTGACGGCCGTGCTGGCCAAAACCGGCTGTAAAAGACTCCATTGCTTTAAAACATTGCAACTTCCTCAATCACGCAAACGTTGCCTTAACTGTCAGTTTTGAGCATTGAGTACAAAGTCCTTCAAATTGGGATATCCAATAAAGGCAAAAAATTCATCCCTTTTTGCAAAATATCACCTTTTAAATTTAGATGAGAACAAAAATGACTGTTTTTAACGTCATAGAAAAATGACAAAAATAACATTTTCTGCTTTCAGGTTTTTTACAGAAATCATCATTGCAAAACCAAAAGATCAATATTCACAGTAAAATTCATTCCTTGTTCTGGCTTAGAAGTGACTTTTGTTGTTCTTATTCGTTTCCCGGGCCAGGCTACAGCCTTTTTTTCTAGTGCATCCTGGCCTTGCCTCGATTTCAACATCACGACTGCATTGTATGCCAGAATTTTTGACATTGTTCGTTCCTTCCTCCACTTTTTTTCGTATTTATACTAAGTCCACGGCCACTCTGATGTGCCACGGAAATTTCACGCTTGTTGTTATTTTCAGTGGCTGCAATTCCAAAATATGCAATGGTAGGGCAAGAAATTCATCAGTAGTCGAGTCCCAAAGTTACTTCGTTTTGGATCGCGCGGCCTTTTTTCCAATTCCACAAGCAACTAGCCAAATTCTCAAACAAGGTATATCACCTTACTCACTTCTTTGAGAAAGTGGACTCTTAGCTATTGTCATGCTTAATGATACTCATCAGGCAGCCACCAAAGATGAAAAATGGCTGCTAAGTTACCAAAAATCGCATACAAACCAAACTCCAGCCGTTATTAATAGCTCAACAAACAAAGTGACTATGTCAGAAGGATGTTTCCAGAAAACTCAAGCCTCCAGTGTTTCGGATCAGAACAGCAGCGCTTTCCATGGTAACCCCAGATACGGAGTCACAAATTCCTATGGACTGTTTAATTTGTATGTAGAAAATCACTCGAAAACGTGAAAGTCTCGGGTAATCTAATCTCACAACAGAAACACTTGTAGCTAGTTACAGCTTTTGACCTACATTCATGTTAAAGCCAGGTCAAAATGCCACAGAAGACTAGCCTCTTCCTTTCCATTGGACCCTACTTCTTCTTTGAAACCTGGGTTATTTGTGATATAGCAATTAAATAAGTGTGGATCAATCAGCATAAATGTACAAGGAGTGTATCAAAAGAATATTTTTTTGCAGGACAGAGTAATGACAGATTTATTCTGTTTTTTTTTAGGAGATAATAGACTTTAAAATCCTCAAGACAACACGATTTGACAATAGTAAGTGATTGTTGGTGCATTTAAATCTCCACTAATGTTTTTTGAGCCAATTCATGTAGTTTTTTTTAAAATTTTTTTTATTATTATTATCATTTTTTATTTATTTATTTTAAGAAACAACAAATTAAATACAAGTTAAAAGTGACAAAAGAAAGAAAAACTACAAAACAAAAACAAAAAAAAAAACATCAATTGAGAGGAGAGCAGCAGGCTAAAAGCAAATAGCGAAGTTGATACATCTGGTCCTTTTTTCTTTTTTCTTTTTTCTCTCCCTTCTTTTTCGTTTCCTTTTTTTTTTCCTTGAGTACAAGGCACAGTCGAAACCAAAACAAAAAAGAGATGTAGAGAAGATATTTATATTTAATTAGGTTTTGGAGACTCAGGTCAAAAGGCTTATATAAGGCAACAAGGGTTCCCATTTATTTTTGACAGTGGAGGCATTGTTTTCTATTTGATAAATGTGTTTCAAATAATGTAAAAAGTTGTTTAAATTGGGGGGGTGTTCTTTTGAGCGACAAAGCCAGATATGGTGCTTGGCAAGTAAGCAACAAAAATTGATTTGGAGTTTGTGTTTAGATCTATCTGGCCTCAGACCCAAAGCCGTATTTATGTGTAAGTAATTATGTTCACTTAAAGAAAGTTGGCAAGACTGCATCCACTT